TGATTTCTTGATCAAACTACGGATTTGGAGAAGGGGGTTTAGGGGAGATTGGTGGTTACTGAAACGCGGGAATTTGTAAGGCATTCGGGGCAATACAGCTCTCTGTATTTCGGTCTTGTTTTTTGTATTATTTTTTTACATGACCTTAGAAAATCAAATATAAATCATGAAATGAAAAGTTTTCATGTCGAAATCTTCTGAAATTTTCATTTTTTATAGGGATAATTTGTGGATATTATTCTAAAGTTTTTAATTTATGACAACACAAAATTGTTAACTTGTAATTTTCTGGAAGATTAAATTTATATAAATAAACGTGTCCTATTTTTTATGAATTGATTTAACGTGATATTAGAGCATCAAGTTTAAGTTTATCTTATACAAAAACCCGTAAGAAATTTGTTAACGTGTGACTTTCTTGAAGATTAAATTTAAATAAAAGATTAAACGTGTCCTATTTTCAACAAGCTTTCAATTCATCGACTTAACATAATATTAGAGCTAACGAAAAGATTAAGATTAAATCTTCGACTAAAGCCAGTGTAAATTCAACATAAAAGTGAAGAACATGCTGATAATTTTAAATTTATTTTCAAATAAATTTTAAATTTAAAAAAAAATATTTTTCTTACTTAGAAAAATTGATAGTAAAGTAAAGATTACTTTCCAAATGAGTAGTCTACTTATTTTTAACTTTGATACAAGAATTCGTTTTATAAATTATTTAGTTGTACGCGAACTTTTAAGCTTAGCTAAACATGCACACGCTACATGAAGCAGTAGGGCGATTTATGATCAATTAATTTGGTAGAAGCATAAATGAAAACAATAAAAAAATAAAAAAAATGTAAGATTCACTTCATAGGACGTGATAAAATTATTAGAGGTGGACAAAATTATATATATGATCTACTCACGATTTTGATTTAATTTACTCTTGAAATTTGATTCATTAATAATAATGAAAAAACATTATTTGTTTGAATATTTGTGGTTTTATTGTATTTCTATTATCTTGTCCTTGTGCACGGGAAAGTGTCAATATGTCCCTAATTGATTTAAATAAAAATAATTTTTTTTATTAGATTTTGATAAACGTTGGTAGAATATGTGGTTGGAAAGTTATGGATCAGATGAAATATATGTTTAAAATTAATTGTTAATTTTGATTTAAATTTTAATTCACTTTTCTAGTTGAACCAAACCCAGTTAGAGAAGCAGACATGCTTAATGGACTGCACCGGTTCGACGTTAGATGAGCCATTCCCTTAGCGGTGGAAATTTTTTATCCCGTCTACTCGATGGGCGGGAGATTAGAATTGGTACAATGTAAGTATATAAAATATTCGCGAGTTCCCTTCTCATCCCCTACCATCCTTTCTTCATGATGACCAAGATGTTGGCATTAACTTGGTTCGACATTCTTTCTTGAACTAAACATAAAATTCAGTAATTAATTTAATAAATGCAAATTTCCTTAATTACAATTAACTAATTAAACTAATAATTTATGCAGCCTCAAAATTTGGGTGGCGTGGGGACAAGGGTGGACGAGGCTACCAAGAGTGCTCAACTTTAACAAGACACATGAGTTTGGTCGATTGTCAATGTCTTCACGAATCCCACTTGTCACCTCGGTACCCATGGTTTGGATTACATATTTGTTCCAAGGTGGTGTGAAAATTAGCTCGTCCTGACTTATTTGATCGAAAATTCGGGAGTTGATTTAAAATTGGTTTTATTATAATTTAAAAACTTAAATCTTAAAAATCTAAATAATATTTAACAAAAAAAAAAAAGGAGTATATTTGGGCAAGTTAATTGTCTCAATAATCACTAGATTTAGGTTGACGTATTCGATTGTTTACTAAACTTTAAGATGTCGAGTTTTGACCACTAAATTTTCTCAAAGTTTTAGCCATTACTCATTGAAATTACTTTCGTTTCACATTTCTAATGAAATAGCTGACCTAGTGAATGAATTTCACTGATGACACCCATCACCATTAGATGCACAATCATTGAAGAGGGATAGTTCACGTAAGCAAGACGTCTTTGATTGCTCACTATAACACAACTAGTTGATGAGACGCCAACTTTGATATCCCGTCTGCCAGTTCGACTATTTCATTACATAAGTGAAACGAAACTGATTCTAGTGATCAAAATTCGACATCTTAATGTTTATTGAGCAATCGAAGACATCAATCTAAGTTTAGTGATTATTGAGACAATTAACTCTCTTTGGGCCAATATAACAACAAAATGAATACGACAAGTTTTGGTGACCAATCCACGTGGCAAGTTAGGTAACATGTGCTGATGCCACGTGGCATTTTGTGACCGTTATTGGTGGTTATGGCACCCTCCCTGTCCCTTGCATGAGTTACAAGGAACAATAGGCCATGCAAACATGTCTTCTATCTCTCTCATTCCCTCTTTCAAAATATGTGTACATGTGGTTTCATTCTACAAAATTATATTAGAAAATGGAAAATATTCAAATATTGGATTGTAATTTAGATGTATAGAGATGGGGTCGAATAGCCTTACTCTATTTTTCAACTATAATAGTAGATCAAAAGATATTACAATCAATGATTATAATAAGAGTATGTTCAGTATTGAAAAAAAATATATATATACTCGACAATATTTGTAATTAGTCCGATAGATGATTATATAGTCAACTGATACCAACTTTCAAAGACCATCCGTGCGGCCTTCGCAGTCCCTCGTCTGAAGCAGCTTTCTTCCCTTGCTTAGGCCAAAAAGCCAAAAACAAATTATACACTCGCTTGTGGGTAGGATGGTGCACAATACTTGCATATAATGACATCATTAATGCACTAGTCGTTAATATAGGTCGTATGCCTAACTGTTGACGGCCTAATTACCGTAGCGTATGAGAAGAGGAGAATACTTAAAGAAGATGCTCAAATTAAAGCTTAGCCTTTGTTTGGATAAATTTTAAATCATTTATCATGTATAAGTATTACATAGGGAACATACATATATTTTATCATCGTAAAAAGGTTTGTGACTTTTGGTCATTATATTTAAAATAGTGAAGGTAAGATTTTCAACGTTGCATTGGGGTGGGGGTCTAGAACTATAAAATCTAGGAGACACAATCTATTAAACACAAAACTTTACATACAAAGACAACTAATGGGGTTCCTCGGTGAAAACAAATGTAGGACATGAGGCTCTTCCTTTATGGTTCCTCTCTTTCTTTTAGATTTTATATACAAAGATAATTTCTTTAAAGTGAGATGATAGGCATACAAACATATAGATACGAAGTTGCTATAATATTTCATTTAGAAGTTCTTAGAGTTGGACCACACACACTCGTTTAACTTTCTAAATTTGTGTTAATCATGTCGTTTAAAAGAAGTTATTAGAGTTGGATCCACATGTTTGTGTGTTAATCATGTAATTAAAATGTTAAAGTTGGACCACACATATTAATCTTCTATGTTTGTATGTTAGCCATCTCATTTACAAGAAATTGTTAAGAGTTGGATCGCATATATTTATATAGATCTTGTTTTCAACACGTCGCATAACATGCATATCTACTTAATTTCTCGATAAAAAGGCTAACATATACACAAATTTTTAGAAATAGGTCATTATGAAACTTAAAGTTAATCTTAAGTTTGGGTTAGATAACATTTTTACAAGTTCATTTTAAAGAAGTTGTTAGAGTTGGACTATACATACTCATTTAAATCTTGCTTTCAACATGATCCAATTGCTAAAGCATACACAAATTTTTTTTAATTATAAATAAGTAAAGTAAAACTTAAAACTAATGAGTTAGGAAAATCATCTCACGTAACAAAAGTTGTTAGAGTTGGATTACCATACTCATTTAAAACTTGTTTTCAACACGTCAAATTGTGTGAACCTAATTCATCTCTCAATCAAAACTCTGAGACGTATACAACTTTTTTTTATAAATAGGGGACGACAAGATTTAAAACTTAACAATATTTGAGTTTGATATCGTGTTAACTTTTTCATCCACAAAAAAAAAAAATGATGAGTGGACTACACATACTCAAATCTTGATTTCAACACGTCTCGTCGTGTGTTAACTTATTTCATTTTTGATACGTACACGATTTTTTATTAATAGATGACAGTGAGACTTGAAACTAACCGTAAGTTTGAATCAAATACCATGTTAATCATCTTATCTTTTGAGTTAGATACCGTGTTTATTGTCTTATCTAGATGATTGTCTTCAACCATATAAAGTTTTAGAATAAGAATATCTAACACCATTGGTGCTATATAGGGGTGGATCCACAATTTCTATTTTTATTAACACGGGCTAATAGGTGAAAATAAAATAAAAATAAAAATTTACACATAAAAAATTGTTTTACACAAAAAGAATTTTCTTTTACAAGTGGGCTGGGATAGCATGGGCATGCAAGCCCTTTCCTAAATCCATGGGTTGTACCGTTCTACTATATGATAGATTCAATGAAACGTGGAATTAAGTGACTAATTTAATTGTATTTCTCACTAAATATTATATTAGTGTCACGTAAACTTGTGTTTTAATATCAATAATGCTAAATAACATCACTCAAAGTATTTTTATTTTTTTTTAAAAGGACAAGAAAAATCTCTCTTTTGGTGCAGTACTCTTTGATAATAGCAAAAGGGGTGTCGTCTGCAATTCTTTTTCCACCATGGGGGTTTTATGTCTAGGGTCCCAATTGAAAGAGACACACAAGAGGCCACCCATATCTATATTTTCCATCTTACTTCTCATCACCCATACATTAGCATGTTCTGCAAAGCAAACCCTTAACCCCTCCAAATTTCACATTTAATGCTCACCCCTTTGTTTTTCTGGTACAAATATATACCACACCTGCTTCATATATTATCAGTATAAATATACCAATATCTTCCATTGTGAATCAAACAAATTTCCCATCTTTGTGTTGCATTTTATTAGATATTTCTTGCTTCAAATGTCAACTATATCCTCTCTTGTTCTTGTTCTTTTTCTTTTGTTCTTTCCTTTCCATGGATGTAGAGCTCGAAGCATCGGGGTGTTCAACAATGAGCCTGTAGAAGTATTCCTATCATCTAGCAAGGTTTGTTCAATTAATGTGCCATTCTTAACATATCATTGGTGATACCATACACAGAAACCCATCCTAATTTCTCGTTTTGTGCAGAACAATAAGGCGTCCGGTCTTGTTAGGGTTTCTATACAACCAGACAGTAAAGCTTCAGAAGCTACAAAACCCGAAAGCAAGAACCATGAGGAGAAGATAGACGACGATAAGATGAGCCCTGCAACGTCAGTTGTAGCTCCTAACAGAAAGAGTCTACAGAAAGTAGAAGTATTGGATACTGTTGAGACTGAGCCTGCGGTTTCTGTTTCTTGGAGGGTGCCTCATAAGAAACGGGGAGAGGAAGAACCATGGTTTAACTTGGATTATTTACCACCAAAAACACATCCTCCACATAACAATTGAGCTCTTTCACTTCTTCAGGTTCTCTCTGAATATTTGAGGATTTCTGTTTGCATCTTAAAATTCAGAAACGATCACCTGTGGACAGCTTACAATCAAGAAAGTGTTTGGAACCCTAGAATCTGTTCATGTCTTGATTGAGTTTCTCTAAGAATTTAACATAGTAGAACAGTATATATACTAAATATAGCATAAGTTTCTTACATATGATGCCCCTGTTATGCCTTAATAATGTAAACTGGATTATACTTTGAAGAAAATACTTGATGAACAAAATCTTCCATCTGTAGTTCTGCTCATTTATTTTTTTGTTGCATTAATAAGCAATTATATTAATGTCGGAGAATCAAGAAGTTGTTGGAGTTTACCCTTAAATCTTATTTAGGGTTTTAACATGGTCGTGATGGCCATAGTCCTCTCTTTGACGGCCTACACTTCTAAATGGAGGGATTCAATTCCTCTTTTATCCATATGTATAAAACTCTGATTTTAGTAAACTTTAATAATAATTGATAAAATGTGTGATTATTTTTAATAAAAGTTGTAAATTACGTGAAAATAAGTTTAAAAAAATAGGAATTAATCTACTTGTACATTGTTTTTGTATATTAAACCCTTGTTTGATCCCCATTTTTTCAAAATTTATTTTCAACCATACATTTATATAATTAAATATTTTGTATATAAATTCAAAAAATTTCCCTACTTTTTAATCATACATCCTCAAAAAAATAATTATGCTACACAAACATTCTCAATAATATGCTGAAAAACAGTGAGGACGCGACATGATTGAATAGTTTGAAAAAAAAAAAAAAACTCAAATGGGTGCTGTCAAGTCAGTCTGTCCATTTTTGGCTTGTCATTGAACCCGTTCAAACATCATTATTCTCCAAAAATTTAGTATTCCAAAATATATTAACCCCCAAAAAGGGGCTCAAACAAGGGCTAAGTTTGACACTTACGTAAGAAATTTGGCTAGAGATTTGAATAAGTGTTGCTAAAATCAATGATCATTATGTATGTCACATCAAACAATGTCAATCAAACTGTCAATCTTTAATATACATGTAGCAAAACTGAAAAGATAGATGCAACAAAGGAACTTAATTAGCCCATGATTGTCATCAATTTTATCAAACATTATTTGCTACAGTAAACAATTTTCACCACATATTCACTCAATAAAGAGCTTGTTTGTCTCCCATTATGGGAGAAAGAATGATTTTTTGAATAGTATTTTTTAGAAAATGTGTGGTTAAAATTGAAAGAAACTTTATTGGTTTATGTATAGAATATTTTATTATTTCAACGTGTCGTGGAGATTGATTACTATAGAAAACAATGTTTTGAAAAATGGTAGACAAACAGGGGCAAAATATTCTACACACAAACCAATAAACTTACAGTACTTTTCAACCATATATTCTCCAAAAAATACTATTCAAAACTCTATTTCTTCTCCCAGAATGGGAGACGAACAATCACTTAATTGCAACCTCTCACTACATGCACGCCAATACAAGTGCTCAACCATACATCCTTGTTGGTTATTGTAATACGCACTTATGCCCCGGTTTAGGACCCCCTTTTTGGGAAAATGTGTTTTCAATTAGTAATATATATTTTTTAGAATGTGTGGTTAAAAAATTTGAAGTTTCTTAAGGTTTATGTATAAAATTATAGTATGAAAAATGTGTAGTTGAAATTAAATTTTGAAAAAAAATGAGACTCGAACGGGAGCTATTTATTTAATTTTTGTGTTCAATATAGTCCCTCTCAAGCAGAGACAGATTTACGGTGGACTCGGCCCCTTTTTCAAAAAATATCTTTGTAAATTTTTTTTTCTACATATTAGCCCGATTTGTAGTTCGAGCCTCTCAGCTCTCAAAGAACGAGGTTGGGGAATGAAAGTGGTCAGAGAAGATGACATTTTTTTCCCTTTTTTTTCTAAATATTTCTTTTTTCCATTATTTTTAATCATTTCTTGATCTATTTGTTCATTTTGAAAATCTTCAGGACTTCTACTGTAATTTTTCCTTTCTCTCTCTTTCTTCGTTTACTTAAATATGAAGTGAATTCGTCATTTTTGTGCATTTAACGACAAAAATACTAGAAAGAAGTGCCTAGGTTGAGAGGTCTAATGCTAAAAAATGTTGATAATAAAGATGAAAAGTGCAATTTGCCCATAAAGAAAACACGGAAACAACTAAAAAATGCAGGTTAAAGAAAAATATGAATTAAAAAAAAACATATTTTGAATTTGTATAAGAATAATCCTTAATCTAATTTATCAACATACCTTTTAAATTGAATCAAACATACCGAAAAGCTTAAAAGCATAATTGAAGGGGCTTATAAATATTTTAATTAAAAAAAAATATATAATACCTTCTTGTTTAATCTTTAATCTAACTTATCGAACATTACCTTTTAAGTTTTAGCTCCCGTTTGAAGCACATTTTGAAGGTAAGAATGTATTTTTGCTGTAGATGTGATGGGGAATATGTGGTTGAAAATGGAGGAAAAATTATTGATGTGATGGAAAATATTATTTTATTGAAGAATATGTTGTTGAAAATGAGTAGAAGAATGTGAATGAAAAAAATAATGTGAACCAAATAGGGCTTTAAATTGAATTAAATGCACCGAATAGTGTAAAAACATGCTTGAAGGGTTTATAAGTGATTTATCCTCTGTTTGGTCCTCATTAAAATCATAATTTATTTTTTCTCTCTTCTTATCAATCAAACGTCTTTAATAAAATAATATTACACGTAATTCAAAAAAAATCTTAACCACAAAAATACACTATCCCAACTATTAAAATTTCAAATAATGAAAACAAACGAGGGCTTAAAAAATAAATAAATATAAGTGCCGAATTGTGAATTTCACAATATGCTGATAAAAATTAATTTCCCAAATTATAAATAATTAGAGTGTGTTTGGTGGATATTATTGAAGAAATAATGTATTTTAAATAGCGATATGATGTGAAATATGTGGTTAAAAAGTAAGAAAAAATTATTGATGTGAAGGAAAATATTATCTCATTAAAGAATGTGTGGTTGAAAATGAGTTTTAAAAGAATGTGTGTCAAACAAGGGTTTAATGAATGTAACCAAACTAGGACATATCAATTGATTAGCACACATTGTTTGTTGAGATGTGCTATTTGTACACAAAGAGCCTGTCTGGACGCACTTAAAATCACAATTTGGACCGTTGATAATTAAAGTTTGGAACGTTACTTTTCACAAAGATCATACTCTTTTTGCAGAATATTTGACACATCAGCTTCAATTTTGGACAAATTTATGACAGAATGACCAGGCTCTTTAATTCATGTTTGCATGATAGAAACCCATTTTAGATACTTCATTTTTAAACAGTCAAATGTTCCTGCTACACTGGGACCCATTTTGCAGGCAGCAACGGTCAATTAATTGCTCAAATTGGGAAAGAAGCTGTGCTAAACAGGCACAAAATATATTGTCAGAATTAATACAGATAGTTTTTGTTGGACAATGAAAAAAAAAAAAGACACTTCTTTAATTCTAATAGCACTGCTTCTGTACAAGTTGAGAAACTGTTGTCTGTCTTGTAATTGTTTTTTAAAAGGAAAAAAAAAAGGTTGAAAAAGATATGTTGTTTTTATCTGCAGATGCAGCTATTTCTAACACGACCCGCCAAATGGCCAAGCTTGGTTCAACCCACCTTTATGTCTCTTCGATGGTAAGTCAGTTTAATGGTTTTGTTTAGCTAAGAAAGTTGATAAAAATATAAGTTAAAATCAATAATTAATTTTAATTATATAGTAGAATTCACAAATTTTTATCAATTTTTTAATTGTATATTTCATCAATTATTATCAAAATCTGCAAAATATGATTTTTAGCTTCCCGCCGAAATATTTGGTATCTTGATTTTCGAATTGGTTATCCCGCCAAGGATAAAACGCGTGCCGAGCCGTACTTGTGATTTTTCTCCAAAAATTAACCAGCAGAGCAGGCTGTATTCTTCCGAGAGAGCGAGATGGAGGTGAAACAAGCAGGGTCATCTCTAGACTCTCTGATGTCCTCATTCAACACTCGAATAGCGGAGCTCCAGCAATTTGTAATTGCTCGCAATAGTTAAGAAATTAATTAGTATTTTTATTTGGATTTTATGTTTTAAGTTCATTTATCATAATTGTTATTTTTCAATTAAACAGTGTACCCAGCAAGCAGCATCAGTGATTTATCGGAAATCGACTCGGCAGTGAAGGGAATGGAGCTCCAGGTCCAAAAAATCCGCGATAGATTGCGAGAAGAAACTCAAGCAATTCCAAAAGCTAAAGTATTTCAATTATGTTTTTTTTTTTTTTTTCAAAAAAAAATAAAAAATTGCGTCGATATATTTATTTGATGTGGGTGGTTACTTAATTTGAAATTTGTAGTCGATGTTGGAATTTGGGCGAAACGTTTGAAATAAATAAAATAATTTATAGTTTTGCAGAAGTTCTTTCTTTATAGTACCTATTCTGGTATAGGATTAGGGTCAGAAATTCATCGTTTCAGGCGAAAACTTTAATTTTGACTTAATTAATAACTGGGGAAAGGGTAAGGTGTTTATATACTTAATTTGTTTAGGAATGAGGTTGCTTTAGGATTCTATATATGCTTTAAATATTGCTTGAATATTAGATAAGGGGTACGTAGGACTGATAAGAGATGTTTTTTTCGAACAACAGAAGTTAATAGAGGCAGCATTGCGGCAACAAACGAAATTGAAGAGTATGTCTGCCTGTGTACCATCCTGTTTGCCTGAAATAGCAACCGCCGTGATTCAGGATACAAGTAAACGGTAAATTACTTTGTTATTATCTGTAGGAGAGTTTGTGCAATTACGTGCTGTTAATCTTTTTCTTTTTTCTTTTTTGGCATGAATTTGTAAGTAATCTTTCATTTTTTCCCCTTCTATTATAATGTTCTTCAGTGTGCAACCAGAAACGCCTAAGCGGGATGTTGTTACTGAATCTTTGAAACTTGAGGAGCCTGCACCCCGGGTAAAGAACTTTCTCATATTATCTAGCTCATCTTCCTGTGTTGCGCTTTGACATTTTTTTATGAGCCGCCTTTGCTTTTGGCTATGGAAAAAGGATCAAAGTATTTATGTTTATGTCATTCAAGATTTCACCAAGGACTAGTGATGCTGAAGATCTTAGGAATTTCCAAGCACTTTTAGTGGAAAAGAAAGTTGATGAGTCTATCCATTAAACTCAATCTTCTTGATGTGCTTTGGGTAAAGAAGTATCTGGGTGACTCAGCATCTCTACTGTCATAATGTCACCACCAATTATGATCCAGAAATCTTATGGAACATGGCCATGTCGCCAACCACCTTCGTTGGTCCCAAAACAGTAGAGATAACAAGTTTTTACCAAAACTGTTTGCAAGAATATGAACTGCAGAAAATAAAAACGCCAAGATCACAAGGACTTTTCGCCACTTGAGCCTGGATGTTCAACCAATAGGCATAATCACCACTTGAGCATCTAGAAAGTAGATTATGCTCCAGATTCACTAGAATCAACCAAGAATATGTACAAATGTATTTCTTCATTGTGGTTTTTTCTCGCCTCTTTATATTACGACGGACTATACTCCTTACAATCTCTTAATTTGTACACTAAATACAATCAAGAACCCTTCACACAGAAGTGCAGAGATTGAATCACGAAGAAGTAGAGAAAATAGAGAGGAAACCCTAGTAAATACACAGAACACTCTCTAAATCAACCCTCGAATGAACGCGTTTTGGGGGTTAAAAGATCACCCAAGAATTACTCAAATCCAACAGTTGAGAAGTGGCCACGTGTAGGGCCACATCTCAATCATTTAAGAGAGGCAAAGTCGCATTTATAAGATGCGATTTATCACAACCCGAAAGTCCAGTTCCAGCAGCCCAATACCAATAATAGCGAGGCACCCCAACATCAACAACATTTTTTTCTCAAGATAACAGAAGAATTCCTGTATAAAGGCCCAATGAGATGCCAATGATCTTATCAGGCAGTCTTGATGAGACTATATGCTGGATCCCTCATATTTACTAGTTCCCTTCAGTGCTAATCCTCTATCCCTAATTGTAAAAGTATTCATCCATTTAATCAAAGGTTCATTTTTGTTTACCAAATATCCAAGCGTATCTAAGCACAACATCGTCCCAACAGTTTCAGGTTGTAAATGCCCACTTCACCTTGTTCAAGACATTGATGACCATTGACTCTTGTCTAGAGAAGGAAACTGCATAATTTGTCGTTTAATGTCCTTGTATAATTTTTTTGAAGGATGATGAAGATAGGCTAATATACTTGAATTCTATAAACTGAAGCCTTCCTATATAAGACAGTTTTTGGTTGCCCAGCTCGTAGTCCTTTCAGTCCTTTTCCACGAGGGACTAGGAGGAATAAGTGTCCAGTTACTCATATGAAGTGAACATGCAAATGCATTACAGGAACCTGCCTAAACTAAATCCCACCGTTGAACATAGAAATTCAGGTTCGTGCAACACGTCTCATACAATTTAATAGATTGGTAGGGCTTCACTGTGGCCATAAGCAACTATCATAGCAAAAGAAGCATACAAGTCTGCAATGCCTCACATATACCCATACTCTAGCATCAAGGAAGAGCAGGTGAAGACCTTCATCATTAAGATTGTCTCTTTTCCCCTGGAATAGGATGAAGGGCTGAAACAAGTTCACAGTAAATAATAAAATTTAAGTCCTAAGACATTTTGAATTGCTCTTTCTGACAAAAAACTGTTATTGTTTAAAATGTGCTCTTTCAATCCAGGAGAAGAAGGGTCGTGCTTCCCCTCCAATGTGGCACATCACTAGCAACGAACTGAATGCTTTGCCATCGTAAGTGGATTGCATTTTGTATGTGCCAAAGTTCATATCCTTCTACACTAAACAAAACACCACATTGCATCAACTTCATCAGTAACTTTTAAAAAACTGTAGGTATATGAAACAAAGGCTTACACTGGATAAGGTCAATGCAGCAATTAATGACATAGCAACATATGCTGAAGCAAATGCCCAGATTATCGTGGCCCCGAGAAAGAAGGTTCCTAATTTTCTTTGCCATTCTCTTTCCCTTGAAAATTGATAGAACCCATTTATCCTAATTCTTTCTTTCTGTGTGTTTTTTCGTTGAAGCTGGCAGAGAATATGTTGGACAAAGCCCTGGTAAGTTAATTTATCTTAGCATATGTTTGCCAAGGGCTTATAAACAGATATAAATTGAGTGTTGGATAAGTGGGCACACTTGTAGGTCCCACGAAATTTGTGGATAAAAAAAGGTTTGACTTTTATCAGCCAAATATGCCATTAGAGAAGTTGGAGTTATATGGTTTTTATCATTTAAAATACTCAATTGATTTAGAACTCGAGGTTTTGTCCAAGGTATCTTCACTGCTGTTGGTCTCAACTCATTTCCCTAAGCAGTTAATAATGTGTGATTGTTCAAACTTCAAAGAAAATAAATTCTTGAAAGCTAATTTCTCGAAACTTGAAAGGATCTATTTACATTGGTAGCAGGTGAAAGATGCTATTCTGTTAAAAATTACAATTCATTATTGCGAATGGAGCTATGACTAGTGACTAGTTGTCTCATTTAAGGACCTCCCCCAAAACTTAGTATGATCCTCGTGTTGCTCCATTTTCATTGGGATGAATATAATTCATGCACACAAGAAACTGAAGATGCTGTCACATGTGCAGGAATTACGGGAGATTTCCATGAATGATGCAGTGAAGAGCAAACATTTCTTTCTGGAAACTGATATTAAAGGGCCTGCATTGAAACTAGACAATACAGGGAAAGCAACACTAACGGTAAGTGGATCTTATTTGTTTGATCATAAAAATCGTTATGTGGAAAAGTCAAAAGAAAACATTCTTCAGATTCAGCAAAGCTGCTAGTCCTTCCTCAATTCTTTCTTTTTCTTGGACTTGAGTGTAGAACTCAACATTGGGCATAATGTAGGCCTCAACAGTAGGGGTTAGGACATTTATGGCATGTTTGGTAGGGATAATTGGGTAGTAGTAACGGGAGAAAAAGGAGCTAAAATCTTGCTAGTATACTTTTCAATCCTATCTGTGTTGTGTACCAAATGTACACTTAGGCTTTACCTAAAAGGGACAAATTATCTTAGGTCGTGTAACCTTCTGTAGACTAACACCTTATCCCTATTGCCTTGAAGAGGTATTAAACTTCTTAGGTCATGGTTAATACACAAAGTGATCCATACTTCCCCATATCAGGCATATGACGAGCTTAGTCAGAAATGAACCATTGGTTCATGGAAGGAATACAGATTCAAGAAGTATTTGGAAAATTACTAGGTTCCATGTTGCTAGATGGCTAATATTTAAGGCCAATTGGATTTTACACACTATACCTTTAATGTCGCTCACATGGTTCCAGGTTCTAATCTGCGATGTTATTTTATTTGCAAGGTACTTCGGCACCTTGGTCGTGTAAGTGAAACTCGGATAGGGCATCACCGTGTCTTCATTCTTCTGAAGCCTCATTAATTTACCATTCCCTTTTCAGTCAACTGAAAGACATTGCATTGTATGGTTTATGTTTTTATACAATCTTCAGACAGGAGAATACTAGATTGTTGCTGTTGATTGTGAGGGAGAATGTGGGCCTTTGAAGGTAGGTATGGGTGACATGTTTCATTACGCACATGAGATATTATCTTTTGTTTATAACTCCTTTGTGAAATCTCCTTAAAATTCTCGTTAAATTTGTTTTTTTTTTTTCCCTACAGTCGTCTCGAAGAAACGTCTTAAAAGAATAATGGAAGATGACTGATTATTTTTCCATGTGCTTTGCGCTAAAATTATAAGGAGATAAGCCAAATAAAAGCTAAGCCAAATGTGTTCTTGTTGATCAAACAAATTATGCCCTTGTTTGGGGTAGATTAAATTAAATTTTTAATAGATTTTGATAAAAATTGATAAAATGTGTGTTTAAAATTAATTATTGACTTTAATTTTAATTTATACTAGAATGTGACATAAAACTCGAGCCCATATTTGTTTTTTTTCGATTGTCTTTCAATACATTTTTGACATGCATATCATCTTGTCTTTGCCAATGAGTTAAACTTGATGTTTTTTCATTTATTAATAAGATGTGACAATTGATCCGTCAAAAATATATCTAGTACAAGCTTTCTTTTATTTTTCATTTTCCATCCACAAAAATAAAAAATATATTCGTTATTCATCACATCAAGCTATCAATTACGAGTTTTTATTTCTTGTGTGAAGCTCAATAATGACTATATTTTTTGTTCTCATTCCATAATAATAGAGTCAAACGGGCCAAGTTGGGGATAACATATTTCAACTCATCAAATTTGACCATCTTCCTAGCAAACAATAATAAATTGCCTCCAAACAAATCCAGGTCAACTTTATGCTGCTTCTGCATAAACAAATTTTCAATGGAAAGATCTATTAAGGTGGCGGTGATCGGAGCTGGTGTCGCCGGGCTTGCTGCCTCCCGCGAACTTAAAAGAGAAGGCCACCAGGTTGTTGTCTACGAAAAATCAGACCAGCTTGGTGGAACATGGGTTTACGATCCCCGAGTCGAGTCCGATCCACTGGGCCTTGATCCCAACAGAGAAATTGTTCATGGAAGTCTTTACTCTTCTCTCCGCACTAATTTGCCCAGGCAGCTTATGAGCTTTTCAGATTATCCGTTTGAAATTAGGAAAAATGGTGAACTGAGGACTTTTCCCGGGCATGAAGAGGTGCTCGAGTTTTTGAACGAGTTTGCTAGGGATTTTGGACTCGTTGAATCAATACGGATCAATACAGAAGTTGTCCGAGTTCAACGAGTCAATAATCATTGGATAGTCGAGTCTAGATCAACAATGGGTGAGTTGAGCCTGGAAGAGGCATTTGATGCTGTTGTAGTGTGTAATGGTCACTACACTCAACCAAGGATCGCCGATATTCCAGGTACACACTCACGGTCGATATGAAATTTACCCTTTTAACATGCCCGAAAATTTTGACTGCTAAACAATTGGGTCAATGTCACTAGCTCCCTTCCAATAACTAATTTGATTAATTTAAAATCTGAAAGGCATCAAAAAATGGCCTGGGAAACAAATTCATAGCCACAACTATCGTGTTCCTGAGCCATTTCAAGATCAAGTAAGCTCCCATTCTAGCAATTTTCTCAACTATAACTATAGATGTTGAAATCATTGAACGCATGAATAATGCTTCACCCTATTCGCTTGTGTAGGTTGTGGTTGTGATCGGAGATGGACCTAGTGCACATGATATATCCGAAGAAATCGCAATGGCCGCCAAAGAGGTTCATCTTTCATCAAGATCCCCTGAAATTAAAGTTACAAAGTTGGATTCTTTTGACAATATTTGGCAGCATCTGAAGGTAATTAAGTTTCCTCGACAACCTTTTATGCTGCAATTTCACAATTTCAACTCGAGAGGCCATTTGCGAGCAATGTATAAAATTTAGGGACCAACTAAACAAAGGTTATAAACTTTCGCGACCTTGTATCAAAAATGAATTGTTAAGAGAATACAAGTACACATGAAATGTACCAAGATGCCCCAAAATGTTCTAAAATATATCAAATTACATGAGATGCACCAAAACGCGTCAAAATGTACCAAAACGCAGCAAAATGAACCAAAACAAGCCGAAGTGTAAGAAAACGTGATAAAATGTGCACCAATCAGGCAATACAAAGTTGAAATTATGTTTCCTCAATCCTTCGTTTGTTTTGCAGATTGATTGTGTTTATGAAAATGGAGAGGTAGCTTTCCAAGATGGTGCATCTGTCCATGCAGATATCATTCTCCACTGTACAGGGTATTATCCATATATTTTTCCATTTTTTATTTTGAAAAAATAAAATAGTATCACATTTTTACAGGTATAACTATGATTTTCCATTCCTGGAAACAAATGGAATTGTAAGTGTGGATGATAACAGGGTTGGACCCCTTTACAAGCATGTTTTCCCCCCAAAGCTAGCTCCCACCCTCGCTTTCGTTGGAATATCTTTTACGGTGAGTTAATTAAATTTGTTAGGCTTTCTACTTTTGCTTCTGCTTCTACTTTATGTAGAACCTTTAAGTCTGGTAAGATTTGATGTTCCATCTTAAAATGTCAACTTTATTAAGAGGAGTAGCCCAAACTCTTATAAATTGGTCTATGTTTTCATTTTTATTCGATGTGGAATTTTATCCTTTAACACACCCTGCAAGATGGTGACTCGTTTGAGCAGACCAATCTTGAAATCCCGTGCTCAATTTTTTTGAGTCTTAATCGGATCGAATTGCTCGTTGGAGCTTATCAGGCTTTAATACCGTGTTAAGATTTGGAGTTCTATCTTAAAATGTCAACCTTATTAAGAACAGTAATCCAAACTCTTATAAATGTATATATTTTCATCTTTATTCGATGTGAGATTTTATCACGAGGTCAACTTCATTTAATAGTTTTTATAGTCAAACAGAGTACTTTTAAAGAGTTAATCTTAGAATCAACTTTTGACTTTTCAGAAGTCTAGCAAAAGTGGTCCTTAGTATTGAGTCACAGACTTCCATTTCAAATTGTTCTGTGTAATTGTTTGAATTTTTCTATCTTTTGAGATATGAGTTTTTTTTTTTTTTTTTGTAAAGTATTAATTGAGTATTGATGATATCAATTAAATCGCGATAGTTACCTCATATTTGTACCTTGGTCTAATTTCGAGTTTTAGATTTCATTTTTGGATGAACGATATCGTAAACCTAATGATTTTATCCATCCGAATTAAACGGGAGGGATTGGATCAAAGTGTAACTAAATGAAAATATTTGGGACTCAACATTCTAAAACTTAACCTTCATACATTTCCCTCCCTTTTTAGCATTTTACTTTCTATCTATAAAATGGAGGTAATCTTTCACTAAGTTAAAAAATTCCTTGAAAAAACAGGTAGTTGTATTTCATATGATAGAATTCCAAGCTAAGTGGGTGGCACGCGTTTTATCTGGTAAGGTGCTTCTACCATCTGAAAATGAGATGTCGACTGATATTGAAAAGCATTATCAACGTTTGGAGGAAGCAGGCAAACTCAAACACCACACTCATAACTTGCTTTTCGACGAGGTTTTGGTATTGCCCTCTATTTTCAATTGCGCGCATGCATATGTATGTAGCAGTGTTTTAAAAAGTGTATCTATGCCGTCCCTAGGTGTGAAGGCACAGGCAAAGCACTTTGCCTGGACTGTAAGCGAGAATTAAGCAGTCAACTCTTAACTATTTAATGCATGACTGTCACGCTTTATTAAATTTTTTTCTCGTTTTTTAAAAATATTTTATTTGACTTTAGTTTATTAACTTTTATTATTATTATTTTCTTTTTTAAAAGGCTTTTATTTGACTTTAGTTTCAAATTTTTAAATGAATTTATTGTACAAAAGTAAAAAATGACGTTATCCGATAAAGATTTAAATAAAATTTAAGCTACAATATTATCTATATTATGTAATTATGATTTTGAAATTTATCGTTTTTGTTGTAAATTTCGAAAGTATATATAAAGTTTCTATAAATCTGTTAAGTTGAACTTGTCTGGTTTAAAATTGAAATTATGAAAAATAGTCTAGCTTTTGCATTTCGAAAAATTTGAAAATTGTATAATTGATTAGTTATAGAAATTATTAAGTAAATATAGTATTTTATAATTTTAGATATTTGATATTTATTATTTTAATTATTAAACAAGTTTTACAATGATTAATATTCTAAATAATAATAAAAATAAGTAATAGATTTTTACATTTAGGCCTCATTTAGGCTCGTAAAACTTGAAACTTAACCTTTATATCTAATCACACTTTACGTTTTTTAGTACACTATATAATGTGTACATTGGTCATTTTATTAGGGTAAATTTGGGTTTCTTGGCAGTTTGAGCACCAAGACTGGCTAGCTGCCCAGGTGGAAGAGCCAAGATTGGATGAGGAGCTTAAAGAAATGTCTAGAACCCTTCTCAAATTTCTTACTGATAAAGGGTGGGCCAGGTTCAGAGAATTGTTGGTGGAAAAGGATGGATGTTTGGTACATTCCATTGGATAGAATTGAAAAATATACATTTTAACTTTTTTTAAAAATTATTATGCAGTTTATGAAACAACTCATGGTAATTCAATAATAATTACTCTTGACATAAAAAAATCTCTTACAATTGAGATTTGTAAAAACACTAATGTTGTTCTAATGTGACTTTGGTTTGGGTTTCAAAGTTTACTGTCCTTTTTTCAAGTTTCACTTCTATCCATTTATGAAACCCTACATGAAAAGCATTTAAAATAAATAAATAAATATGGGTTTTCATGTGACAAAGTATATTGATTATAAAATATGAATGAAAATGTTTATTTGTTTATCAACATTTTAAGTTTATAGACGAGATAGTTTGATTTACGTTTTGCTTCGGTTAAGTAAATTATGACTGCCTTCTCACTTTCACATATTAGTGATGAATAAT